TAAAATGATAATTGCCAGAATGATTTCCAATCTCCGATAGGAGCGGAACCTGAAGAAGAATAATATGGGATATCTTACCATTACATGCGCAAAGAAAAAAGCATTGTGTTTCTTCTTATGTATATAAGGAATCCAACGACAGAATACTCTAATAATTGTCGAACTTTGCTCTGAGGATGGCAGCTGAAGAACAAAAACAGACCAAAATTAAATCACAGTTGAAGAAAGAAATTTAAATTGTTAACATATTTTTAGCCGTAAAACAGACGGCTTGCAGAGAATAATAATTATCGAGTAAATATGCCTAGCTTCCTCTGTCTGACTTATTATCGATAAGATTTGAATTTTTTAAGTAACAATCATTGCCTTTTATGTTCAGTCCTTCATTCCGCAAATGTTTAATAGCTACAAAATATTAATGTTAGAATGAAAAAACGCCGTTCCGCCACCCAGATATCCAAAATAAGTTACGAAAAAGAGGCCACGTTACCATTTAAAATTGCATTGCACTTTTGATAATTGCATCATTCTTATAATTTTTAATATAAAAGATTAGATTGTTACATTTAGAAGTGGAATTTCCCAACATCCACCAATAGTATTAACCTTGAAAACCAGGGCTTCATTTTAACTTCTTAAATTTTGAGATGCGTATATTTTTATATTTATACGGAAATAATTTACATTTTAATACACGAAATCAAAACAAATACAAAATATTTGTTCAATTCAGTAATATGTAGGTATATAGAACAGATTAGTTATTAATAAAACCAGATTTTACTACCCCGGTAAACAACTTTAGAGTGATTTCAATGCTTGGCAGTTAGTTTACAACTTGCAATTATATTATTGGTATAGTTATTTGACAGCAAAGAAACAGAATATATAACTTAGACCTTGTATGCAATTTCGAATGCAACATAAAGAATTGTGTTTACCATCTAACAATTCCTAATAAAATACCAGATTCTCACGTGTTGAGGGTCACATCGACAAAGTCCAAGGAAACCGAACAAACACACTCACGTAAACAGAAGCAAAATCTATTTTAACACAACTTTAATAAACAGAAAATAACAACACGAATGGAATGGAGATATAGCGGCGGTTTCACGTTAGGGAGACCTTAGACCGCGTTGACTTGGGTTGCGACAAATGGTCCAAATGCCGCACCCCACCATACAGTTGAGCACCGGTGACGTCACCGTCGACGACTCCTCCGATAGACGGTGTTGCCACCTTAGCGGAAATTGCTGAAAGCCGCAAGATTGCGTTTGGGAAATTCCGATCTATTTCTAGATTAGCTGAATATTCGATGGAGCAATATACTTTGAAAAGAAATTTTTGCATAAGTGAAAAGTAGCTACAAGTTCTTATACTTTTCTATGTGCCATATTGTTTTTCCGTGCAGCATAAGATTATAAATTTTTTTACATAATATATACCACTGTTTTCCATCTTCGATGTTCGACCCTAGATTTCGTGATAAATTTCTTTCTCAAATCTTTTTATTTAGAGTTTTTTTCTGTTTTTCATTAGACTTTGATTTCCTAGTTTAGAACACTAGAAAGGCTGCTGAATTAACGCATCTACCCTAAAGGTCTGCTATTATTTGTATTTAATATTAGTATAGTGTATTTTTATGTATGAGAGAGTAATAAAACAATAAATTATGTATGCAAATCCCTAAACTGTTGATACGGGTGATTCAATGAAAAACAGATACTTGTCAACAAGTTTACAGAAGTATATAGGAAAACAATTTTAAATTGAGTATGACCACTAGGTATAAAGGTTGGAGCAGAATAGAATACAATAGTTGTGAGGGTTACTAATCCCTAAATAAGGTTGCCAGTGTCGGAGTGATGGAGGTTAACAGGTACTAATGAATTTGCAAGAAATGTAAGATGTTTATTTTATTGGTTATATATAACCAATAAAAGTTTAATAAGTACCTACCTATTTGCAAAATAAAGTTTAATTCTTTAGATAAAATAAAACGTTTTATTTTATCTGAAATGAGTGCATTCCACGAAGTAAGGGTTTCAACAATCAAACATTTAATTCTTTAATTCCAGGAATCTACGACAGTAATTGCCTAGATAATTACCTTCTAAACTTATTCCACAGAAAATGTGATAGTGGGTTTTTCCATTTTGTAGGAAGGTCCAAGTGGCGTATTCAAAATTCTTAACAGTTCACTAAAAGTAGGTACTTCAGTTGCAAGGTGCAGTTTATTGTGTATACTAGTGTTATGGAAAATTTGGAAGTGCCGTGTAAACGCCGACAAATTGGTCCTTTAACAGTTAATGAAAAAACATTAATATTTAATTGTTTTAAATCATTTACAGACAAACGTTTATATGAAAGTGTTGATGAGACCGTTGAGTTAGTTAGCAGTACACTTGGTGTTGGGAAATCTACGATTTACAGAGTTATTAAAGAAGAGAAATGTGGTAGTTTTCAAATGCCACGTAATGCTCCAGGGAAACCAAAATTTCAAATAGAATATCATTTTAAAGAAGGACTTCGACGGAAAGTGCATGAATTCTTCTTTAGACAAGAATTTCCAACATTGGATAAAGTTCTTGTCTCAGTTCGAGATGATAAGGATTACCTAGAAATGAGTCGAAGTACGTTATGGAAACTTTTAAAAGAAATAGGCTTCCGCTGGAAAAAGAATCCCAGAAAGTCTATTTTATTAGAAAGCGATATTGTCATATGGAGAAGACATTTTCTAAGAACCATAAAGGAAATGAGAAACCAAAAAAGAAAAATATTTTATCTTGATGAAACATGGATCAACGAGGGTCATACACCAAATAAATTTTGGCAGGATGAAACTGTTACAAGTCAAAAGCACGCTTTTGTAAATAACTTATCTACTGGTTTAAACCCACCATCAGGAAAGGGACGCAGGCTGATAATAGTACACATTGGCAGTTCAGACGGTTTTGTTGAAGGTGGTTTATTCACTTTTGAATCAACTCGTACCGGTGACTACCATGAAGACATGAACGCTGATGTCTTTCAAGAATGGTTCGAACAAATGATAGATCTTCTTTCTAAGAACTGTGTAATAGTAATGGATAATGCAAGTTATCACTCCAGACTTAGAAGGACTGCCCACAACCAAGTGGTTAAAAAAAGACTTGCAGAATTGGCTGAGTTCAAAAAATAATACGTACCATCCCGGATCTATAAGAAAGGAACTTTATTCGTTGTATGCCCTTCATAAAGAAAAATTTAAAAAATACGAAATTGATGAAATTGCCAAAAATCGTGGAATGACGTACTTAGATCCCCACCATATCATTGTGAATTAAACCCGATTGAACTGGTATGGGCACAGATAAAGAGTGAAGTTTCAAGAAAAAATACCACTTTTAAAATTCATGATGTTAAACAGTTGTTTTTGGAGGCCGTAAATATTGTAAAACTGGGGAAAAGGCAGTAAATCACACTATTAAAGAAGAGGAAAAAATGTGGAAGCTGGACAATATTACTGATAAAATGATCGAGCCAGTTATTATAAATCTTGGTTCTGAAAGTTCATCTTCTGAATCTGATTTGTATTTGTAACAAATAGCTGTAAGTTTTATATTAATATTTTTATTCATCTATTTAATATACCTTAGACGGTTTTAAAAACTCTTTTTCTCTTTTGTAATTTTTAAAAATTAAAAAAAATGTGAATTTTTTAAAACCCTTTTTAATGTAGGCCAGTCAGTTCTAATATAGTGTGTGATAAAAGAGGTCACTTTTGTTTACATACACATAACACTTTATAACACTGAAATAATTCATTTATTTTTTACAATTATTCAAAGTAATTTTTCAATTAATCTTGAGCACGCCCATGGAGTGGTCGAAAGTACCAGTTAAAATTATGCTAATTACTCTCTGGTTCATAAAAATAAACTATAACCAAAATAATATCCTGGGGCAGATATTGTATCTGATCATCAACCACTTGTAGCAGATATTAAACTAGGTTAAAACGAATTCAGCGACAAAAACCAAAAACCAATGTACTTAACTTTGACGATATAAACATAAAACATAACATTAAAAAAGAATTTACCAATAGAATAAAAAATATCGGAAAACAACTAGAAGATCCAGAAGAACTATGGAGTGAATTTAAAAATCAAGTTAACGAAATCTCCACAAACAGTGATTATAGAAAAAACTTAATCAAGAAAAATTAATAGATGACAGACGACATCTTGAAATTAATGGAACAACGTCGACTGATAAAATCTAATGTAACAGAATATAGACACCTGCAGAGAAGAATAAAAAAGGAAATCAAATTAGCCAAAGAAAAATGGATGAGAGAAAGGAGCGACGAAATGGAGGATGTAATATCTAATCACGACTTATTTAACGTGCACAAAAAACTAAAAGAAATGAGTAATATATTTAAAAAACGAGTTCCCTCTGTGCTTTTTGACAATAATAACACAATTATTGTAAATGAGCACAAAATAAGAAAAGAATGGTAGCTGTATATATCAGAGTTGTTTGAAGATGACAGGAATAATATTGCCAAATTCTACCAAAACTGTACTGACGGCCCAGAAATTACGAAATATATATTATACCAGGTAGAACACGCTATAAATAATGCTAAAATTAGAAAAGCTTGTAGTCCAGATGATACACCAAGTGAGTTGCTGAAACTAATAGAGAATGATAACATAAAAGCAGTAGTAAGACTTTTTAATTCAATATATATAACTACGAAGTAATTCCCGCAGATTGGCTTAAATCCATCTTTGACGCAATACCTAAAAAACACAATGCGACAAAATGATCAGAATATTGATTAATTAACCTAATGAGCCACACTCTTAAAATTTTCTTCAGAATACTTCACAACAGAATTAGACGCAAATGCGAAGAAGATCTTGAAGATACCCAATTTGGTTTTAGAAATGCTATGGGAATCAGGGAGGAACTTTTTGCGGTTAACATCCTATTACAATAATGCCGTGATCAAAGAAAATATGTATTTACATGTTTCGTGGACTTCGAAGAGGCATTCGATAAAGTTCAGCATGTAAAATTAATGCAAAAAATGAAAAATATCGGAATATATATATAAAATATGGAATAAAAATGAACGGGGAACTACTTAATGTGATTAGATATGCAAACGATACAGTAATTCTATCCGATATTATTGAAGGTCTTCAAATTCTGGTTGATCGTATTCACGAGGTAGGAGAGGAAATGGGCATTAAAATAAACTCAAACTTACATCCAGATGCAAAGCTTCAATTGAACGGAGTCCAAGTTGTGAATGTTCACAAAATGACATATTTGAGAACTGTGATAACGGACCAACTAGATCCAGACATAGAAATAAAACATAGAATAGCAATGACTAAAACTACTTTTATGAAAGTGAAGTCATTTCTTTGCAATAACCATCTCAGTTTAGAACTAACGCAAAGAATGGTTAAGTGCTATGTTTGTTCCGTACTTTTGTACAGTGCAGAAGTGTGGACGCTAAAAGTATCGATCATGAACAAAATTGAAGCATTGGAAATGTGGGTTCATAGACGAATGCTGAAGGTACCTTGGACAGCAAGAAAAACTAATAAAGAAGTACTAAGGAGCGTCAAAAAAGACAGAGAACTGCTAAAGACTGTTAAACATCTAAAAATGTCTTATCTGAGACACATAATAAGGGGAAGTCGATATAAAATTTTACAATTGATCCTTAAAGGCAAAATAGAGGGCCGTAGAGATGTAGGAAGAAAAGAAGTTTCGTGGTTAAAAAACATTCCTGAATGGACTTAGATACCAAATGCAGCACAATCATTCCGTATTGCAGAAGAAGAGAAGCCTTCGCAATGATGATCGCTAACGTCGGATAATTCTGATATGGCACGCTAAGAAGAAGAAGAACCAAAATAATTAATTATAGACTCCTTCAAAAACTCCTTCTTTAGTTGTGCCTAATCTAAAGTACAGAAAAAAATCGTATAAAACATTATAAATTATATATAAATTCATACAGATTTTATCAATCCATCATTATCATAAGTGGCTCGACAATCCATTGTGTCTCTTGCTCTTTCTTGAATAATTCTTCCATGCATTTCCTTCATCTCATTTTCGTAGAGCAGATTGTTGTACTCGTCTAGTATTAAGTTATGACTTCGTGATCCGTTTCCCCCCGTTAAGTTTTTGGTATTTTTATGTAGGTTAAAAGTGTCATGTTCTGTTCTAGGAATTCTATTTCTATGCATTGATCTTGTAGCCATGATTCTTTTTTTGCTTCTTTAATCTTTTTCTTACTGATTTTGTTTATTTCTTGTACCTTTCCTCATGCTTATTACTGTGTTTTTTCTTCGTTCTTCCATTAGCTCTAATATTTCTTGTCTCATCCAGGGCTGTTTCGTTATATTGTCTTCTGGTTTAAGTTTGTTATCTACCACTGAATTACAGATATTTTTCAGTTTATTTCACATATCATCCACACTTAACTTTTCTTGATTAATATCTGAGATTACCATGCTGTTTATTGTGTTGTTGATTTCCTCTTCGACTTCGTCTGTTGTGGTTTTATATTTCAACTTCTGGATGTTCGGACGTTTTTGTGCTTTTCATTTATGGACTTTTTTCATGTGGAATTTGAAAGATCTTAGTAAAAGATTATGATCTGATATAACATCTGCTCCCGGATATGTTTTTGCAGATTTTACGGAATTCTGAAATCGTTTGTTGATGATGATGTAGTCAATCTGGTTTCTAATCATTTTTTTACAGTCAGCTGGATAATTCCAGGTGTAGAGTGCTCGAGGTGGTAATTGGAAAAAGGTGTTCATTATTGCACTATCCGTTTCCTGGCAGCAGAACTGAACAAGGCGGTCTCCTCTATCATTTCGCATTCCTAGTCCAAAGTGTCTAGGACCTCATCTCATTCGCCTACTTTGGCGTTGAAATCTCCTAGCAGGACATTCACTTTATGTTTTTTGGTATGTTTTAGGGATTCTTTCAATTGTTCATAAAATATTTCTATTTCCTGCTATGAGCTTTCCAAAGTTGGAGCATATGCTTGAATAATGTTCACGTTAACTGGTTTAGCATTAATTTTGAGTACTGTAACTCTATCTGGTATTCCTATAAAACTAAGTATACATTTGTTTACTTCTTTATTTACTATTATAGCCACTATCTGCCTACCATCTTCAATATTATGAATTGAAATGACATCCTATCTATCTCTATCTATATAAGGATTTTTACAGCTGTCGCCGCCTTCCTTCTTTTAGCCAACGTCTCCAGTTCTTTCTGTTCTGCTATTCTCCATCTCTAAGGTCTCGTCTTTCCATGACCTCGTCTACTTCATCCCTCCATGATCTTCAGGGTCTACCTATTTTCCTCCTTCCTATTGGGCTCCAATCAGAAATCTTTGCTATCCACCTTGTATGATCTGTTCTTCTCACATGTCCATACTAAATTAAATGTTTTTCTTCGATGTAACTGAGTATGGCTTGTTCTACTGCCATTCTTCGTTTTATCTCCTCATTTCTGATGCGATCTATTTTTGTCACTCTGCAGCTTATTCTCATGAACTCCATTTCAGTTGCTGTAATTTTGGACCTGTTTCGTTTATTTATTCTATATTCTACACCAAATTCTCTGCTCCATAGGTCATTATACTGCGTACCAAGGTGTTATAAATTATCTTCTTTGGATTTCTGGTAATCTGTCTATCCCACAGTACCCCGTTCATTTGTTTAATACATATTCTTGTCTGTGCTAATCTGCTGGTTATCTCTTGCTCGGTGGTTCCATTTTTTTAGAGTATGAATCCTAAATATTTGAATTTTTCAGTGCCGTTAATTTCCCTATTATCGTCCATTTCCAAGTTTCTCAGTGGTTCTTGCTCTGTTGTTAAATATTCGGTCATTTCTAGGTTTATTTCCAGTCTATTTTTTGTGTATCATTTTCTAATTTTTGGAGCATATAGCACAGATCTTCCTCATCTTGAGCCGTTACCACTTGGTCATCTTCAAAGCTTAATGTGTACAAGAAGTTGTCCCGGATTGGTATTCCCATCCCTTCACATTTCCTTTTCCATGGTTTTAATATTTGTTCGAGGAATATTTTCAACAGTGTCAGAGATGTAGATCATCCCTGCAATAAACCTTTTGTGGTCTTAAATTCGTTGTAGTATTTATTGGGTTTTAACTATTACCTTGTTGTTGTTGTAAAGGTTTTTAACGGCTTCTATTAACACCTGAGTTATTCCGATTTCCTTCATCGTGTTCCATAGTTGTTTTCTGTTAACCGTGTCATATGCCTTTTTTAAATCTATGAATGCCCTGTGTACTGGTCTATTTTTTCCATTTTTTCAATTAATTGTTGGAGTGCATATATATATATATATATATATATATATATATATATATATGGTCTATGCAAGATCTTCCTACCGTGAACACCGCCTGATCTTCTCCGATTTTATTTGAGATTTCTCCAGTTTTTCTTTCAGTATTTTTCCATATAGCCTGCCCATACATGCTATCACACTGATGCCTCTGTAGTTCCCGCATTTCTCCCTTTTTATGTATCGAGGTTATATATGCTTTGGAGCATTCATTTGGTATTTCGTTCATGTTTATAGCGTTACTGAACATTTCGTGTATAATTATGTGTAGTTTGTCCGTTCCGTACTTAATTAGTTCATTAACGATTCCTCCTGGTCCCCTTGATTTTTTGTTCTTTAAAGTCTTTATGGCATTCTTTACTTCGATTAATGTTATCTCAATCTGTTCTTCATTCTGCTTTTGTTGTTGTTCCTGTGCGTGTCTGTCTCTATGAAATCTGGGCAGTTTTCTGTGAGTAGTTCTTTATAGTAGTCTTCCCACTCTTTTTCTGATATGTATTGTATTTGGACCTTTTCGTTGTTATTTTTCCTTAAAGATTTCAGTATTTTCCAAGATTCCGAATTCCTTGTTCCTCATATGTATTGTTCAATTTGTGCACATGTTGCTTTCCATGCTTCATTCTTTTCTTTTGCCCTTCTTCGTTTTACTTCTCTGTTTTTCTCTTTGTACTTCTGTGTGTCTTCTGGGGATTAGGTGCTCATACTTTTCATATATAGAATTTTCTTCTCCTCAATACATTTTTTGTTTCAGATTGTTCAGTTCGCACAGGTCAATTAGTCTTTAATAGTAAAAGTCAATAATAGTAGCAGGGGACGCACAGGTCTCCTGCTACTATTATTTCTTGTGTTGGTCTCCCTCTATCACCTATGATCCTATGATCATAGGTGATATAGATAGGTATCACCTATCTATGATCCTATCACCCTCTAAAAGTGATGGCCGTAGAGAAGTGAAACTAACATAGATATGCTTTCGGAAAAGTTAAACATTATGTTGGTAGGAGAAAAGAAATCTAAATTAAAGAATTGTATCCTTTTTTATGTAATGTTGATTTATTAATAATAGGAACATTGTTCCAAAACTGTAGTGTTTAGATTGTATTCAATGTTTATTTAAACCACAATTCGATCATTTTATGCTTTTATTGGGGGATTTAGCAGGTAAATATATGCCATCTCCATTGAAGTGTACAAAAAAGGAAATGTAAAATTGGTGATTTGGTTCAGAAGAAAGAAAAACGGTAATACTAAATGGCAAGAACAAAATAAGTGAAATTAGAAAGCCTCACGAGATGACGGGACGAAACAACAAAGAGAAAATAATCTTTATTTGGTACAGCCCTAAATTTTTTCGCAGTATTCTTTGTTAGTCACGCTTACCAATTGAAAGCCATTGTCAATTTGTCACAACAATTTTTCTGGCATCATTCTTATTTTAAAAGAAAAAAAGTTCAATTACGACCAGTGGTTTGTCCTTCCAAAAAAAAAATCTAATTACCTATTCCCTATCCCTCCCTGATGAAGGGCAGCAGCGATCATCAGTACCAGCTCAAGGCGCAGAGGAAATGATCCTGGATCGGCTTGAAACTGGACTACCACAAACATGACTGGAGCAGTTTGAATGGTTGTGGTACTGCGATGGGGAAGGCAACGGAAAACCACCCTATAAGAATTTCCTAGAATAGTTATCATGGCAATACACTACGATAACAAAAACATTACTGATCATGGTGATCAGATCCCAAGACCCGGCAGGGGAGGATGCACACAACCAAATAGTAGGGCCTTCCAGTTCGTCAGCCAGCGAAATCCCTACGGCCTAAAAATTGAAGCAAGTCCTCAACACCTAAAGATTGGAACTTGGAATGTACGAAGTATGTACGAGAGCGATAAAATTCATAACATTGTAAAAGAGATGAAAAGATTAAAATTTGATATATTGGGAATAAGTGAAACACACTGGAAAAATTTTGGACAATGCGATATACTTGGATATAAAGTTTATTATGCTGGAAACAACACAACACATCACAGAAACGGCACCGCAATAATAGTTGTCACATATTAATTCGGCAGTAAAATCTTTCACTCCTCATTCAGTTAGAATAATGCTTTTACAAATGCGAGCAACACCGGTGGATATTAACATATTACACCTATACGCGCCAACGGCAGATAAAGATGAGGCAACTAGCGAAGAACTTTATGAACAACTGGGAAGCCCGATGAAAATGACAAAAAAAACATGAAGTAACAATAGTGATGGGAGATTTCAATGCAAAGGTTGGCAGAGGCAAGGTGAATTAGATCGTGGGAAACTTCGGCCTAGGGGAGAGAAACGATAGAGATGATAGACTTATATGCTTCTGCCAGGAATATAACCTGCTGTCAAGTAATACACTTTTCTAGCTCCCCAAACGTCGACTTTACACATG